CCAAAGAAAATGTGTTACATCTCCCTACTGCCTCCACTGTTTATCTCTGTCTCCACCAGTGTCGTGTAAAGAAGACTGTAATCATTTTCTATTTGATTGCTCTAACTATTCTTCGCATAGAAACGTCTTTATTAATCAATTTAAAATACTAAATATTCCATTTAATAAAAACGCTATTCCATTAAGATCATCTTCAACAAAACTAATTATTTCAAAATATATGAAGCTGTATGTCAATTCTTAGCTAACACCGCTCATTTTAAATAATCTCCAAATTCCATGGTGCTACCAAAAACTTGCACTTCGCGCTTACTCCTATGACTCTCGCTTTTACGTGTGATATCTCAACAGACTGTGGTCTCTCTCTCTCTTCTCCATATGTTTTCTTCCGCGTCATCGTTACAGTAACGATATAAACTTGAAATTTCTTACTCATGTATTAAGTAAACTATGAACATATAATGTGACAATTGTCTCGATTTGTTCTGTATTTCACTGAAATAAAAAAGTTTATATAAAAAAAAAATATTTGTTCAAAAACTATTACCATGCAGAAATTTTCTACTCATATCAACAATGACAAACCGTATTAAGCCATTAAATGTATCAAAAATGATAGCTTAATCTTTAAAATATTAAATTCTGAGAAACATTTTATTTTTGTCACGTATTTTTTCTCTCTTCTTTCTTTTCTCGTTCATCAATTGTGTAATGACGTTAACCATATCTTTTTATTCGTTCCTCACTAGTGCTATCAATCAAGGTTAGTACCAGACCTTAACAAAGCTTTGTTTCATAGACTTATAAAACACGGCTGTTCTGTCTGTAATTCAGTAATTACCAAAGGGATTTAGTAAGTTAACTAAATTTCTTCGTCCTAGAGAAACCTAGCCTTCCAGAATATGCCCTTTAGGAAGGTGTCACCTAAAGGGCACAAAACCGTTCTTTTTTTTACCAAAGCTACAAAACCCTTCGACTCTTTCTAAAACACACTTTTTAGTTTTTTGGTCAAACAGAAAAACACTTTTAGTTTTTAAATACGCTTTTTTCGATTTAGGGTGATAAAAAAGCCACTATTTGCCAACGGCTTTCACAAAGTACTTGTTAGCAATAAAAGCAAGTATTTTTATCATTGAGAAGTACTTCTGAAAGTAATGGCAAGTGAGAAATTTTGAAAACACTTGCTAATTTTTCCAAGTACTTATCAAGTACTGGCATCAAGTATTTCTCTAGGGCAAACGCTTGTAAATTTTTTGGCTTGTTTTATCCTTTTAGATCTTTTTGTGTTTATGTTTTTTAGTATTTTTGTTTCTCTTGGGAGATTACTTATAGTATATGAGTTATGTTATTTCCTCTTTTGGTAAAATAAGTTTCAACCAAAAAGATAGAACAAAAAATATCACCCCATTTTACTTCGTTATGGTATACCAGTTCATCGTCAACTTACTAACTACATCATCATCCTCGTCCTCGAAAGCTGAAAACATCTTTTTTGTTTTTTAAGGAATTTCCTTTTTTATGTCATAATGACGTTAACCGTACCTTTTTACTCGTTCCTCACCAGTGCCATCAATCAAGGTTAGTTACTTGACCCTAACAAAGCTTTGTTTCATAGACTTGTAAAACACGGTTGTTCTGTCTGTAATTCAGTAATTACCAAAGGGATTTAGTAGTACCAGAACGGTTCCTAAACACATATGGTTTAGGGAAACATCGTTTTAGGTTTTTAAGTAGCCAAGATTTTCCAGTTTGAGCAAAACATCAAAAGGGTTTTTTAAAAACAGTTAATCGAACGGTATATATTTCGAAATTCAATAAACAATTTGTCTTAACGTCGGTGAACTCTTTCTTCTTTCGTCGGTGAACCAATTTCTATACAAAGAAAGAGTGAAATTTTATTTTATTGTGTTATCTCTTGTTTTAATTTGTTAATCAGTAGCTTACTCTTTTGGTTAGAACCTCTTTTTGTTTTAGATGTCAGTTTTGCTTACTTACTACTTATAAACACTCTTTTTTTAACTAAAAATAGGGATAAGGTCAGCAGTTACTTGGATAAGATAGGTTAGAACCGCTCGACACTATCTATGTTTAGGAAAACGTGTTTTCTTTGTGGACTTCAGACATAAAATAATGTAAGTTCACAAAGTGAATATTAACGACAATAGAGAAACACTCGAATAATATTATCCTGAAAATCATCCAAGTACTTGCAGTTCTACTTGACAAGTCCTTGAACAAGTGCTTGTCACGTGAAAAATCAAGTACTCGCACGCTGGACAATTACTTACAAATAAATTTACTTCTGGAAAAAGGACAAGTACCGGCTGCATTACGCAAGGCTGTTCAAATTATTGAATCAGTCGAAAAGTGCAATGGAATTGGTCGACTTTGCAGAAAAGCAGAGGTTTTGAGAGGCTGGCAAATAGTAACTCCTTAGGTGTTCGATAAAAGTCACGTACTGTCAACTTATTGCTCATGCTGCTTGCTGTGTCTCACTACTGATCAAAAATTTTACTTCTGTCGGTCAGGTAAGGTTCGGTTGAGTCGTCTTCTCTATAGGTCGTCATCTCCGGGTCGGGTAAGGTTGGGTTGCCATGTGTGTCTAGTAGTGTCTGACTTCTGTCTAACAGGTCTATATCTCTGGGTCGGGTAAGGTTGGGTTGCCATGTGTGTCTAGTAGTGTCTGACTACTGTTTAACAGGTCTATATCTCTGGGTCGGGTAAGGTTGGGCTGTCGTGTGTGTCTAGTAGTGTCTGACTACTGTTTAACACGTCTATATCTCTGGGTCGGGTCAGGTTGGGTTATCATGTGTGTAGTCAACATATATTTCACTAAATTTCTGGGTTGGGTTAGGTTGAGTTGTCATGTGTGTCTTACAGTGTTTCAGTAGTGATAAACAGTTCTATCTATGTGGATCGGGTAAGGTTGGGTTATCATGTCTGTAGTCAACATGATAGACATGACGACTCAACCTGACCCAACCCTACCCAGAGATGTAGTGTTATATCTGAAATTTTAATTTTAATTCCGTAATGCCTTCAAATTAATGCATCTTTTTCCACTTTTGGGCTTCTATAATTGATATAGAACCCACACGCCATATGTGGGGGTCTGGTTGGGTTGGGTTGTCATGTCTGTAGTCAACATATGTCACTAAATCCAGGGATCAGGTTGGGTTGGGTCCTCATGTCTATCTAGCTCTGTCGCATTAGTGATCAATAATTCTGTATGTGTGGGTCTCGTTAGGTTGGGTGATCATGTCTGTAGTCAACATATATCACTAAATCTCTGACTTGGGTTGGGTTATCCCAGCTGTCGTCAACATATATCACTAAATCCCAGGGTCGGGTTGGGTTGTCATATCTGCTGACTGTTTGCTTAGAACATTTGCACTAGAAAACCTTGTGACATTGGTTTTTCCTAAGTTTCCTGGATAGTGTGTTTCTTTATGTTTGGCGGGGCTAACGTGTTTTATGTTCTTTTATTTCAGATAAAAAATGAAGCTACATTTAATATTGAGATCAGAAACTGTCATTATCGTCGTCAACGTGAAAAGGACCAGCTGCGGAACTATTCAGAAAACAGGTGCAGGGTGCATGTTTGTCGTTGTTGCGGCACAGAAATGCGGCATACCGGTTCGAATGTGATGCACAAAGTACCGTATTTGATGCCGTATCTGCCAAATCCATTTCACGAAATATCTAAAGAAAAGCTAGAAAAATTGTAGATATATGGCACGGAACAGGATCAACGAGAGGTGAACATGTCAAGCACATACTTGAAGCAGGCACTGCCTTTTATGGCATTGCTGATAGCTGCTGGTGAATTCTTTTCTTTTTGTACCTCTTCCTAAAGCACAGCTTGATTAAAAATGGTGTATTTTGATTTAATGAGCATCACCTGCCCCCGAGTGCACCGTAGCCTGTTGCATTTCATCGACCGATACCTTGGCGTTCTCAAACTTCTCAATAAGAGCAGCACAGGTAAGAAGTTCATCGTCCGTACATTCCACGAATATCGAAATTGATTCAGACAAACCATGTTCCATCTCAAATTTCAACACACTTTGTAGTAGTTGTTCATCATCGGACAACGACGTGTTTAACGAATTTGAATGGTGTTTAATATGGTTTTTGTTGCATGATATATCCAACATGGGTATATCTTCGCAATAATCGATTTCATCCTTAACAACTGACAAATCAAGATGAATATCACCCGTTGCAACATTAAGATTCGAATTTGAGACGGTAACATCGCTGTGTTTCATGGTAATCGACATCTAAAGCATATAAGACAATCCCATGGATAAAAAATCACCGTACTACCTCAACACTAAGTCAGGCATATTCATTCCTTCAATCGTTTTACTGAACAAGGTAAAGCAACTCAATTTTAACTTTAAAATTTTTTTAAGTTTTAAAATTGAACACCGCTCACATGACAATTATAAAGATGAAAAAATATAAGATAGTTAACAAAACTCTTAGGGAACGAGTATCCACGCCAATGAGTTTTAAAGTTGCCAAAAAATTTGAAAGTTTGCTCTGCGATTTGACTATTGATTTGATCAAACATGCCACCATGTGATGGATCACTTGATCTCATTCTTCCTTGACACATATGTCGTTTGTGTTCGTTGATGAAAATTGTCAAGTACAAAACGAACGGTCTTAAATAAATAATCTGCAATTGGAGACCGTTTGAAATAATCCGAATCGTAACGACTTTGCATGTACAACTGAATACTGCACGCGTTATCATACATAATACCCTTGGATAGTTCAATAATCTTCGCCAAACGAATAAGATGGCGAAGTAGCCGGCGTGGACTTTCTGACCGAACTGATTCATCGTATCCTATCACAATGCCACAGTTATAAAAGGATACTAACGTACCATACGATGTGCCACGTTCAGCATGATCATTCAATTCATTTCTTTTATTGTTACACTCATCACCGATGGTATCTTCACAACGTTCAAATAAAATTCCATTTTCAACAGCGTCATCCGGCAGCTCCAAGTGTTTCTCACACAACTGCAATGGATTTTTTTCTGTAACAGGAAAAATGCATCATCATTTTTATTTACTGACCTTTGTTACGAAGAGCGGAACGTGGACAGCCAACTAACACTGGTCCGAGCTCCACAATCGAATTATCATAGCAGTTTTTGAATTTACAGATGCGTCTTCCAGATTTCTGGTGACCATCAACAATCAATACTTTGGAACAATTGTCACCACATTTCCGTCCACTCATATTTTTGTGGTTGGACCGGAAGGACACGAATACATAATATAATTTTTTTTTGTTTCGATCAATGAAAACATTCATATCAGCTTCATCACGCATTGACAAAGGTATTTCAATCGTCGTTATGTTAGATAGCTCGAATAGCATCTTCAACATATGAAACGTCAACCAACTATTTTGAAAATGTTTTACATCAATCTTTCTTACTTCATTTTCAGTGCACGACGATACCGTAAGTCCGACTCTTTTAATCAAATTATTGTAATACATCACGAATCCGTTAAACGATGAATGCAGATCAATTAAAGCCACATCAAACGACGAAAAACAACTACGATCATAAACTGCATGTCCCTTAAAATAAATTGTATTCCCATGTTGAATTGACTCCCTTGTGATATAGTGCTTTTTTGTCGCTCGAATCCAATAACTGTTTGGATAATAACATGTTTTACATTTCGTACATACACAGTATTGAATAATGCATCTATCCACGCAAGCTACTCGAAATAACCACAAACCACCGATGGATAATACATCCATTTTAACATTCGAAGGAGGACATACCAAACATAATCTTGTAAACGGTGTTAATCGATGGAAAACAATATCATCGCCAGATAATATCTGATGTAGTAAAATCAGTGACGAACAACTAGTTTTAAATTGCAAATAATGAGTATACACCGAGGAACTAAAAATCAATTCAACCTGTTGACGAATGAATAATGGCATATAATCTGTCTTATAGTGTCGATTTATGATTTGAGTAATAACAGAAAATATTTTCTCCATAGCCACAACGTTTTTTAACTTTTGGTACAACTGCATAATAATATTCAACGGCGCAGCTTTAATCAAGGAAATAAAAAAGGCGTCGTTCTTCTGATCTTGAAAGGCGCGAGTGTCCACGATACCATCCATTTATACACCAGTCTGAAAAAAGATGTTCAATAGTAATCCCATAGAAGACTATCGTAGTTGATTTACTCAGTAAACTTGAAATATGTGAAAATGACGTATCGTATGTAACGTTTTAATACTAATCCGTAAAAAACAGGCGCAAAGAACATGACAAATAAAAAAGAAAATTTATGAACCATTTTATGCAATAACAGCTAAACCAAAATTCGCACACACGTATTTGAACAAACAAGATTATCACCAAAATGTCATGCTATATGCTGTCCTGCTCATCGGCATGAATAATACTCAAAGAGCAATTAATTGTCACTCAATTACTCTTCTTCTATTAAGATTTTTCTTTCTTGAACCAGTTGAGTTTGCACTTCGTTTCAAAGTAAGGGCTGCTTCAAACGTTACAACACCTAGCATGCAAAAATTCAGTTAGTCAATTACGTAAAACCAGATGTACAGCTACCTGTGTTGTTTGGACCAGGCTCCTCATCATCTTCAACTACATTATGAACATTAGATGCCCGTAATATTTGCCGTTTGTCATACATCATGTACCGTTTGCAAACCGTTGTGTTTAATATTTGTTCTGCACGTTCATTTAAGGACATGCTCGTTGTCGTATAAAATCCTAAGAATATACCCTTATTACAAGTAAGAATGCATGAGAATACAGGGAAGCTTACCTGTCGTTGAATTATCAAAATAAGATAAAAATGCTTCCCAGCTGATGTCGTATGAATTGATTACACAGATAAATTCAGCTTTCTCTTGTTCATCATCCTTATTTGGCACGCATTTCATGAAAGCCTTAGTATTGATAAGCTTTTTACCGCGACGTACTCTGGATAAAAACTCACCTTGAATCAACAATTTTTTGTCAATCATCTCTCGAAGTATTTTTGCTCGCGCTGCTTCAGCAGGCTTTTTCAAATTCTTCGTTGCTTCAACCACATCAGTCTTTGGCAATATGAATGACGGAAATTGCAAGATGTTTTTTATAGAAGCTTAGCAAAAATATTTTATGCAATCAACGTCTACTCCCTGTTAGAAACTGAGCGATCTCATTTATCTAAGCCCTCTTCAGCTAACACAAAATGCGTTACAATGAGTAAGTTCCCATTGGT